TGGTGAAGTACGTCGTCATCTGAAGCTCATAATTGTCTGAAGAGATTCATCATTTGTCCAATGGTAGATCCAAATTTAATTGATCAAATTGCAAATAACAATAACAATGGTAATAATAAGAATAATAATCATAAGGATAGTAATAATAATAATAAAGGTAATAAAATAACACGAGGTTTATTGCATGTTGATATCTTGATTATTGAATTGATTATTTTATTGATCGTTGTCGATAGAATTTATAATAGAGATTAACCCAAAATATTGTTTTGTGTTAATAAATAAAATAATAAATAAATGACCCAAGCTGAAAAAGAAAGGAAGGGCGGGTAGGTACGCCCAGTAAGAATGGCGAAACATTTCGTTCGCTTGGCCCATACATTCCGACCCTGAAATCGGTAGAAACTATTGTTAGCGTCGGCTGTGGTATCAGTCAAAGAATCGGCGAAAGTCGATGAGTAATAAGGTGAACCAAATCAAATGTCAAAGAATACCTTCGTTGGAAAACAGCCACAGCAGTTATAAGTGGGGTTCAGCGTTACAGTGAAAAGTTAAAGAAATCAAAAGAAAAGGAGTTTCAAAAGGTGAATCACATCAACATGGAAATCATTCCACTTCGAAGAGATTAGTGAATGAGCCACAGAAGAAAAGGCTAGACGTGCCAAAGTCACCGACAAGGAAGAAAAAACCCTCTAGATAGAGTTCGACTTGACGGGTGGCACTGGAAACACTCGGGAAAAAGAATTTGATGCGAACCACGTTTAGTGGAGAAGGAGACTTTGTAATAAGGCGTGTGAATTCGCATGGCAAACACGCCGTTGAGAAGCTATAAGGATATAAGATGCAACCAAAATTTTCCATATTGGTTGGCCAATGACAACCAAAGAACAACTTCAACGAACCGACATGAAAATGCTCCGATGGATGCAACGAATTAGTCTGAAGGACCACATCAAATCTACCGAAATCCTGCCTCGTGCTGGTCTAGATAATATAAAGGTCGAATGCCGGCAACACCGTCTGCGGTGGTTTGGTCATGTCAAACGAAGTGGAAACAGTGCCATAACTTCTCTTGCAGATGTTGAAGTACCTGGCACACGTCTCAAAAACCGTCCAAAAAAGTCCTTGGTCGCAAACAATTGAGCAAGACATGAAAGATCTAAATTTAAATAAAATGGATACAACTTATTGTCTAATTAGGCGCAAAAAGTTGATGGCAAAGAAAACAACGTATACCTCAGAAAACTGGGTCTCTGGACGCTAAACGAAGATTGATTAGATGCTATAAGGCGTGAGAAACCGTAAGAGGCCGCACGGCGACTTGGTGGTTACGTTGCTATAAGGCGTAGGAATCGCACGGCGAATTAGACGCTGAAGGCGTGAAAAGCGCAACGGAGAATTGGATTTTATAAGTCGTGAGGAACCTGCACGACGATTTCGACTTTGAGATGGTATAAGGCGGATGAATCACTGGCGAGTAAATACGACGTTTAGACGTTCGAAATTATGAGCTGTGAGGAAACCGCACTCCGAATTCGACGTTGAGATACTATAAGGCGTAAGAAATCGCGGGCGGGCGAATACGACGTTCAGACTGTGTAATGCGCGAGAATCGCACAAATTCGATGTTGATAAGACTGAAGTCTGTACAACAAAGTTGACGCTATTTTGACAATACAGGACGCAATGTCAAAGCACAAAATTTGACGTCTGTTAAGACAATATAAAGCATGAACACTGCCAATCTGTATCCACATTTTTGTTATAGAATGATAATTTTTGTCGTATAGTAACACACACAGACAAACACCCAAGTACACTATTGTTATATCAACACTGTCGACAAAACCAGGGCTCCTTCGGTAGTCTTCATTTCAACATACGAACAGTAGTACCAGTTTATACAGCCATCACACTGCTCCCACGAAGTACGAGTTTGGTTGTCCCTCCCAGACTGATGTCCACAGAACACAAACATTCAAATTTTGTCCAATCGACCACATCTTATCTTTTAATTTTGCCAATTCTTTAGTCAAAAAATGTTTCAAGGTTAAGGTCATCAGTATTTTTGACATCAACATCATCAATTGAAACTATGCAATCCGTTTGAACACAGTTTTTGGCTGTTTCTTTGGGTTTAACCCAAAGATGTTTGGAATATCTCATAACATCTTATAACATAACATACAAAAGTAGACTATCAGCCACGCAAATTGATTTCTTCGCTGTCAAGCAGCAACACCGAAGGCTATTCAAAAATTTCAGAATTATACCTGGCGAATCATGTGTCGCCCAACATAGGCTCCTTGAGTCAGACCTGGTTGTCTGTCAAAACATAAGTCTAAACAAATGCCTCGGAAAAACAAAACGTGGAAGCTGAAAAGCATTATTTATTGAGAAAAATTTCAACATTTTCAAATTTAGAATACCAATCGCAAGCCAGTACAGATTGGAGTACATATAAAACCGTTTTGATGAACGCTGCAACTACAGTTTGTGGGAAAACTGGTACAAAACTTCAGCATGAACGGGACACTTGGTGGTGGAACGACAGTGTACAAGGTGCAATAGCTGAAAAGAAAACTGCTTACAAGCAATGGCAAAAATCAAAGTCTGTTGATGACCATAAAGTTTTCCGTGAGAATAACAACTATGCAAGACGTCAAGTCGCACTGGTTCGGACAGGTCAGTGCAGAGAGTGGTTCACTAAAAGCAAAGGTTAAATAAAATCTCTGTATCGTATAGCAAAACAAGCAAAGCGTACGAAAAAAGACATAATTGGTGCCTCATGTGTCAATAACGACAAAAACTAGAAGGTTCTTGAACAAGATGAGATCAAGCTACAGTGGAAAGAATATTTCAACCGTCTGTTAAATGAAACAAATCCCATCAATGTCAACTTTAACGCTCCACCCATCGAAGGTCCGATCTTTGACATCACTATAGAGGCTAATACTTCTGAAAGCTATGAGGGATGAAAAGGCAGCAGGGTCCTCTCGACTCACAAATGACATCAAAGCATCTGGTACTGCAGGTATTCAAACGTTACTACAACTTTGCCGTGATATCTGGAGAAATTGCTCAAAACCGATTGAATGGAACATGACAGTTCCGCTATGCAAAGGCAAATGTGATCCATATTCATCATATCGGGGTATACGTCTGTTAGAACACTCCCTGAAAATTGTCGAGAAAATCATTGAGAAAAGATTAACGTCGTGCATCACAATCGGAAATTATCAATTATAATATAATTATCCCCGCTAGGGAACAAACAATTGATGCAATTCACATCATTCGGCAACGGCAAGAGAAGTACCACGCAAAGCATCAACAACTATCACACATTATTGTAAACCTTGAAAAAGCATTTGATCGAGTTCCCCGTGAAGCAATCAGGTGGAGTTTCGTCAACCCAACGGTTGGAAACACAGATGCATTTAACATCGGCGTTGGAGTTCACCAATGCTCGATTCTCAGTCCACTGTTATTTATAACTGATGGAAGAAATCACAAAACCTATGCGCATTGGTCTAATATATGCTGATGTTTTAACCGTTTTAACTGCCACGTTTGAGCAGAAAGCAGCACAGATGTTTGAAGATTGGAAAACCAGACTGGCCGATCATGGATTCAAGTCAACATCAGCAAAACCAAAGCAAGGAACACTGGTGAACCCATCTAATCCACAGCTACTGGACGATGGCCCTGTTCAGTTTGTAAAGCTGGTGTTGGTAACAATTCAATCAAGTGTAAGCAGTGTAATCAGTGATAATTGGTAATTAATTTATCTAAAGTGTCCAATTTTGTTTGTCCTGCCTGCATCAATCCACAACAACATATTCAAAATATCACTGTTTTTGAAGCCGTTAAGTCACATCGTTTCAATATCTAGGGTATGTTCTGGTTCGAACGCGCAAACGTGTAGCCTGGAATAAATGGGATCTCCTTGTCTCTATATTGATGCGGCGTGACATCCCACTACCACTACGATCAAGACTATAAATCTGTGATACGTCCGGTGTTGTTATATGGTTCAGAAACATGGCCAATGAAAACCAAACTGGAACAAAAACTTCAACCAACCGTCTCGAAAATGCTCCGATGGATGCAACAAATTAGTCTGAAGGACCACATCAAACTACCGAAATCCTGCGTCGTGCTGGTTTCGATTGCAGGGTCATGTCAAACGAAGTGGAAACAGTGCCATAACTTCTCTTGCAGATGTTGAAGTACCTGGCACACGTCCCAAAGGTCATCCAAAGAAGTCCTGGTCGCAAAAAATCAAGCAAGACATGAAAGCAGAATTAACTAGTGAAAGTTAATTGATGGAGGTGCAGCTATATTAATAATGGTAAAGATAAATCATCATATTCTTCTATTTAACGGAAATTGATACAACTGATCGCTTAACTTGGCGCAAAAAATTGATGGCAAAGAAAACAATGTCCTACCTCGGGAGAACTGGGTCTCTGGACGCCAAACGAAGATTGATTTAGGTGAAACACATGAAATTCTGAGTTGATGTCTGAAGGTTTTTTCAAACGCATGTTCACGTTGTTGGAACAGTTGCTGTTTTTTTTTTATTGAACTTCTTCTCTTGATAGCAACAGGATACAAAAAGACAAGTGATTGTACCAACTAATTGTACAAGTGATCGTCAACCAAAATTTCACTTGTTGCACCAGGCAACCCAAGCGCGGGCATCAGCTCCTCTTTCGGGGCTCCAGTGAACCTGGAACTTTCAGATTTTACAGTACCAGTTTTTTAAATTATTTATTTTTCCATAGTGCTTCCAACCCACCTAAACAATGCAGCAACTATTGACAAATATACGAAAAACTTTGTAAGTATGTATCTGCTGACTTGAAAACGGGATAATGTTTTTGATGGTTGATGAAGTTGTATCTTTCACTATTGTTTTATTTCGTTACATTAATATTTCTTTGTCAATCTTTCACCTAACGGTACAATATAGAGTACATTTTGCGTTATAACATATTACAGATTATAGGTCTAAAAACATTGGACTATTTGAAAGGAGTAAAACTAGACCAATTCAACATCAAGAGTTTTTAAATAGTGACGCTACTCGTAAAAGATATTGGGCTAGAAGTTTCTTAGCGTGGCCTTATATATCATCAGCAGCTCCAAATTATAATCATTATAAACTGTCATTTCTGCAAAATAAAGGTTATTTGAAGCACATTATTACACAAAATGTAGATTTTCTTCATTGTAAGGCCGGAAGTTCAAATGTTACTGAGCTACACGGTTGTTTGAACAGGTATGAACTTTTTTTCAATAATTTTGCTAAGTTTTTTTTTGCAATTTAACCAATTTTTGTTTTATCCCTTTGACACCTAGCCAAATTTTATAGAATAAAGTGTCTCTCATGCGGTGTTAAAAGATGTCGTTTTGAATTTCAATTGGAACTTTCTTATCTAAACTCCAATTGGTTATATAAATCTACTGAAATGCAAGTTGCTCCTGATGGGGACGTTAATGTAGAAGATATTAACTTCAAAGATTTTAAGGTAATATAATTTTCAATTTAAAACAGTTTTACCTAAATAATTTTATTGCGAGAAGGTTCCAAACTGCAGAAATTGTAATGGAATTCTACAGCCAGGGGTTGTGTTTTTTGGTGATAACGTTTCCAGTGATGTGGTAAATGAGACAGTTAATGTATTAGAAAAATCAGATTCAGTTCTAGTTTTGGGTTCATCCTTACAAGTTTGTTAACTTAATGCATTTTTTGTATTTTTCACATTTAAACGACTTACCGTCTACATTTTTCTACGATTCTCGTTTCTTTCAAATTCAATTTTATTGGCAACTCTAAACAAATGTCCAAAACTAATTTTTTAAAATTTTATTAAACAAAAATTAATGAGTGTAAGCGATTTAAACGTTCAAACGTTAAGTCATTAAAATTATTATAGTTTCTTACAGTTTTTACGAAATTAAAATAAAACTTGCTGACAATTTAGTTGATCCAGCAAAACAGCCCAATCCAGTCGTTCCTCCACGAAACTTCAATTTGCAGCAAGGAATGCGAACAACTTCATTTAGTCAATTTGAACTGAAGTTCGCGAGCTGTAGTCGGATGTGCGATCATATTGAAATGCCACTTCACGTGTGGCTTTTCGAAGTTCAGAAATTCTAACATAATTTTCCTTTCTTGCGACTTTTGTCTTTTTCGGTGCTCTGCTAAATCTCTGAACTTTACAGAATCGTCAAAAAAGATTTGGCGGTCTACGTCGTAGCATTGTAATTTTCAAAGAAATTGAATAAAAAAATTAATAAGTTGAAAATAGCAATTCATTGATGAATAAAGTTGATGGATAAAGAATATAAACAAAGATAAAATGATAAAAAATTAACGATAAAATGATAAAAAATTAACACATAACTAAAAATAAATTAACATTTTAAAAACAAACCAAATTAAAATAAAGTTAAATTATATTAATTTCGTAATTTTTTTTACATTGATTAAATAAGCTGTGCTAAATTTATAAAATAATTTGTGTATCAATATGTCATAATTGCGTTCCTCTATCAAAGGATTACAAATATAGCAAAGGTAACAATAATTAAGATAACAGATAATTATAATAAATTTGATCACCTAGTCCCTAGCATGGGTGTTATTTCTTTATTTCAGTAGATAGGGGATAATCTATTTAAATGGACAACTTTCATTTTTGTCAATTTGTCCATTTTCTTCCATGATCATAGGTCCTGTAGATCACGTCATTTATCTTGATTATGACCTTGTTCCGATATTTCCAATTCCTTGCGAGTTTCACCTGATATCTTTTTTTTCTGCGCCGTAGGTTGTACAACCAGACCAGCTCTTTGCTTTTGAAACTTGCATCATTTTCTTTCAGGTCATACTACGTTTCCGTTGTTTCGGTTTATCTAGCCATCGTGGTCCTCTTAATTTTGTTGGTACTTCTAGCAAATGCTTTCTATTGAGTTAACGAGGTATGGAACGACCAGACGGGTATCATTGATGCTTGTTGTAAAATACGTTGTTGACATTTTTCCTGTCGTGGGCGATGAAAAAATCCTCTTCATCAGCAATGAAGCCGTCGTTGATGTCATCTTCATCATTACGCTAAATACTTTCTTTCTTCACGTCAACATGTGCAACGTAGTTGACACGTGCGTCGCAATTATCCACGTGCGTCGCAGATATCACGTGTGTCACAGTGGAAATCATCCGTAGATTAATAAGTTGGTATGATAATGTCTTCTTTAGCTGTTTCTATGTTATTTCGATTATCACTTCATTGGGTGATTTTCTTCCGAAGGTTGATCGATTATTCATTTTATATCGGGTGTCTGTTTATCGAGTTTTCTATTCATGTCAGCGAGCTGGGCGATCCTATCGTTTTGTTGTTTCACAGGATCCGGAAAATCGAACTCACCCGGGTTGATTTTTTGTTAGAGCGGTTTAAGCGGTTTATCACAACGGCCTTCACTCCTTTCGAGTCGAGGTTTCGTTGGCATTGTTCTTTCTTTAAATTAGTTGCATTGCGTTCTTGCAGTATTGGCATTCTTTATTGCAAAAAATTTCAGTCTAACAAAAACTCTTTTGACTCCTATGTTGTGACCCTTTTGACGCTCGTAAGAACTACCAACACCAATGTTATAACTTCTATGATCTCTTTATTTCTCTAATCACATCATCAAAAAAGATTTTCAAACATTTTACGCACTCAAAACATTAGACATCAAATTATTCGACATCATTGAATCACTCTCTCACATCTCACACATCAATCATCTCCTAGTCTGGTTTTGCTTCACAACAACAACTTCAACAACTACAATCTCTCATCAGAAAAACTGATTCGCATCAACTATCTACCTGCATCATACGTAGGGTCTCTGTATATAGGCTGATTTTTACAATCATAAGATTACAAATATCTTTTTTCTAATCCTCAATCCAAAGATTACAAATATAGCAAAGGTAACAATAATTAAGATAACAAATAATTGATCATTTTGGTGGTTATAACGTTATATATAAATGTGTATTTTAATGTCCAAAATTAGAAGAACCAGAATTAAAGATATCAGAGTTTAGTGAACAAATCCTCGTTTTTAAAATATTACATTTAAAATAATATCAAATTTTTCATAATTTTTAAGAAATCTTTTTGTAGATTTTTGCCGGGCGACATTCAAATTCCGCACCACGCGGTCCCGAACCGCGTCCGCATACGAATATCCACCCGAGCCTTCGCTTCGCTTCGCTTCCGCCACTCTACAATAGACCCTCTCAGGGTCTGAAAACACGGGCCGGGCGGAAAATTGTTCGCGCCCTGCTTGTTGACTAGAGACGCCGACCTCGTCAACTATCAACAAGTCTTCTTCAACATCCATTATTTTAGGTAGAATAATTAAGCCGAGCCAAACTTCAAGTGTACACTTCTTTTATTCAATAAAAGAAACAAAATAACAAACATAATAATACAAATCAAACCTCTGTCTTTATTAAAAAAAAACGATAAATCCAAAATTAATCTATTAATAATACAACTATCAAGCAAGAAACTAAACCTAAAATAAAAATAACAAACGACCACCCCCTCTATATCTCAACTCGCGGCCTTTTATATGTTTTTACCGCCCTATCTACATAACGCTTTCTATATCATAGAAAATTCTATACTGGCATCTATACTCTTTTCCTATACTCAGAACAGCGCGTTGCACGCGTCCCATATGTTGCTATACTCCCTATATACAAAACAGCACAGCAGCGTCGCATATATAGCATATCAAATAACAAAATATACATGCATAGAATGTCTAGTAAAATATATAGTGTCGGAAATTTTAAATAAATGATAAGGAGATTTTCAAATTATGACTAAGCCCCACGTTGGGCGCTAATTGTCGGAAAATTTATAAATGAAAACAATTAAAACAACTGGTGGTGTGAGATAATCTCCTCCTCTATCTTTCTCAGGGAATTTTTTTATGGTCCGACAATAATTTTTGTGTATATTTTTAACGTGAGTTCGACCAGTCCTGTGTGGCACTGGGCTTTTTCGAATTATATGATTTTACTGAGTAACACACGAACGCGTAAAGAAAAATATTCGATAACAATTTTATTAATCGACGGAAGTAAATAAAAAGGAATTGAACTAATGAACTCTATAATAATGTAAATGTCAATGAACAAACTGGAATACAGGAATTAGAACTTCTTCTTGTTGGGTCTTCGACTTGGGATATGTTTCTTGCCGTTTAATCGTACAACCTCGACGTGTGTAACCGATAGTGATGTCGATACAACTCCA